GTTCCTACTTCCTAGACTTCTAACTTCTAAGTGCTTACATATAAACTAAGCTGTGAGTTTGTACGACTTTCGAAAGCCTTCGTATCAATATCGAGACTTCCGACTTCTTTGCTCCTACACCGGAACATTTGTGCTCCTACTCCGGAACAGCTTCCTGAATCTTTTTGTTCTACCGCAACTTAACAACTATGATTAGTCAAAGTTTGTTTTGTTAATGTCAATCATCAAAATACCAAGAGAGTCAACAAAGAGTCTACAACAAAAGAATACACAAGCGGTCTTTGAAAGTAGGGGACTTTGTGTTACGGAAAATGGAGGCAACCGGTAGGGCCAATGAGCAAGGAAAGTTGAATCCCAATTGGGAAGACCCCTACCGGATCTACGAAGAAGTGAGAGGCAGCACCTTCTGCCTGCAAACTCCAGACGGCAAGTAGCTAGCCAGAACTTGAAATGTAGATAACTTAAAAAAGTACTACTTCTAAGACTTTAAATTTTTTGTAAATAAAAAAGTCCATCAATGAAAAGTTGCTTTTTATTTTCAACGATATTTATTGCTTTAACTATGTACATATCCCAATGGGAGGACCGTTTGTGCAATGTGCAGACGACCTTATTAAAAACCAACGTCTACTCCAACATGAGTAAACATCCGGCGACGCGGCAAAGACTGATTAACCCAATAAGAGCTAATTCACAGCTGTTTGACCTGAATAATCTAAAATGGAACCTAAACGGCATAAACAAAACAGCATGTCTTATTGATATCAGCTGGTAACCGGCCGTTATTCCCACTTAGATTAATATCCTACACTAATTGCGTAACTCAAAAAGTCCTCCCAATGGGGCAAAAGGATGCTTGATTATTTTTATGGAAAACAGTCCCAAACGGCAAAAGAGTAACGTCTGGGTGTTCAATTTTAATCCGCTTGTATGATGAACGGCTGCGTACTTGGTTTGGGGCAATCACGGTAGTGATTGATTGACCAAGGAACCCTTCATACTCTCTAAAGTATCTAGGGTCCCCCGGTCAATCAATCTAACTTGAAACCAACCACACAGCCGTCCAAGGGCAAAAGGCAGCCGGTTCGTTAAGTGCCGTGTGCAATTAATAAGTTTGCTAAACTTGCAAGCATATACATATAGAAAAATTAAATTTTTGGTCAAAACTGACCTAGTCAGCTATTTCATTAAAAGCTCCCAGCATAAAAAGACCAGAGAAAAACACTGTCATACCGGAGTCACATCCGAAAAATGAAAAAAGATGGAAATACATTCAAATACTTGGCTCGCAGGCCGGAAACATAGACGGCTTATGGCCGAAGAGAAGCTTAATTTTTCTTTTGCTGAGGTGGAGGCACCGACTGGTCCTGGCCGGAGGGGAGCTCGCCTTCTTAGTTGAACTTGGTCAATGTTAACCGGAACTGGGTCTTCCTTATGCTCATTGATCTCCTCATCCTCTTGCTCCTCATCACACGGCTCGATACCGACCCATTCATTAAACGGAGCCGGCGCCTCCAGACCGAGGGACTGAGCATCATATACCTTAGTGGCATACTTGTACCTTAGGTTGAAGAACTCCCAGTCGTGGTCCGGATGGATGAGGTTCCACGCTATTTTCATGCATGCTTTGCAATCTCGTTCATTTTCATCCACCAACCGCTCTTGCTGAGCCGCCAGCTCAGCCTTCTGATCAATCCGCATCTTAACCATCTCATCCTTAAGCAGCCCGACGTCTGCCCGAAGCTGGGTATTTCTTGGTCGGCCCCCTTCAGTGCCTTGAGATCTGATTGGGAATTTTTAAGCTCAAGCTCAAGGTCAGATGCCCTATTATTGATCGTCTCCACAACAGCCATGAGCTCTTTAACCAGCTCCTCTTGTTTCATCTCTTTGGTTTTAGTCTTAATATCATTCAGAGTAGTTCGGTATTGAGTAGAGTTAATGGCATCAGTCGCCCGTTTATTGGCGTCTCTTACCTCCTCTTGCTTCCTTTTATACGGGGCTTTGAGCCCGTCCACCCTCAACATTGCCTGCAAAACTCAGGCGGTGTAAAGAGAATTTAGCTGACAAAAAAAAAAAAAAAAAAAAAAAAAAAGGAGCTAAGTTACCTCAGCTAGCAAGGCGGAGATACGGTCAATGTTGACTTGATGCACCCCAGGATTCAAGTCTTTCTCTGACCGGGTGAGGCACCTCAGCATCCGCCTAGAGTACTGCAAGAGGTCTGACCACCTTGGAGAGGCATCTGCACCAATAGATGGATGTGGTGAGATAGCAGCATAAGCGGCACCTATATTGTGCCGGCTGCTAGATGAATCCCCCGATTGGGTAACCTGAGATTTGACTCGCATGTGCCTAAGCGGCCATGGGAGATCAAAGCGGTTAGTCATACCTTGAGGTTCCAACTGAAGGGTCACCCCACCCCCAGCCGCTGCAGATACGAATGCAACATCGGGTGGCATGCCACCTTTCGGCGTCTTAGAGATGCCCGACTCTTTGCCAATCGGCTCAGTGCTTAGACCAAGATCCTTCAGGCTTTTTCCTGCAGAAGTTGGTCGGTCCTGTACAGGCGGCAGAGATGATGTCGCCTGGGTAGGCAGGGCTTTCCTTAATTTGGAGGGAGTCTTGGAAGGATCATCAGCCTTCCGTTTGAGCATCTTGGAGATGGATCAAGGAAAGTTTTTGCTTCCACTCTGAAAGTGGAACACAAGGGTTATAGCCGGTTAAAAAACCGTCTGATGACGATAAACGTTTACAAGTTAAAGGATTCAACCGAAGCTTAACCCATCATTCTTGGCCGCCAGCTGGGCCCTTTTCTTCTCAAGTTGATCCATCTGGATCTGGGCTGCTGACCTGGTAGGCGTCCTTGCAGAGTCCACCATTTTTAGAGATTTTTCTGCAAAAGGGAACTGGTTGGTTAAATACAAAACAAATCGCAAAACCCTAGAGGCGGCATCAAAGTGCCGGTTAGATGGTCAACGTACGTCTCTTAAACATGGTACTAAGACCAAAGGCGGAGAGGAAAACCTCATCTTTGAGCGAATCCGGATAGGGTACCCAATTCTTGGGTACAATTATTTCAGTGCCGTCTTCTAGAGGCATGGTGGTCGTCTTGAAAAACTCCGGCTCTATTATTTGTGACCAAGCCTCCTCAAGGATATGCAGAAGGGTGCACTTTTTTCCCAAGAGAACCGATTTCTTATTATACCGGCGGAAGAGATAATTTTGACGTCTGGATGGGGAGGAAACCAAGTAGAACTTTCTCTTCTAGTTGCTCCACTTAGACGGTTTATCTAGCGTCATCATGTACTCCGGATGCGTGGTTAAAGTGTACCACCGCCTCCAGCCGCCTGGGGACGGCTTAAGTAGTGCATGTGTGCAAACGCCACCTAGCTGGGCTTTAAGTTCTGCATCTCGCAAGCGGCGATATAGCAAAGGATTTTCACCCAGGGACTGGGTGTGAGTTGCCATACGCCAACCTCATAGCCCCTTAAGATGGCTTTGATTGTGCCATGAAGTGGGAAGCAGAAGCCGGCTTTGAATGCCGCCTCATAGTTGCCGAAATAATTGTCGGCATGTTCAATATCGTCCTCCCAGACGATTGTCGCCTCAGCCCAGACGGCACAATTTATTTCCCACCTATCCCCCATTGGGTATTTATCTACAAAAGCAGGAAAGCTAGCTTCTAGGGTGATTCTATCCCTATTGGACATATTCGCCTCCGTTAGGTTGTTCATAGACGGCCACTGGGATGCCTCACCCTCCTCACTGTCGGCATCCGCCGGCAGTGAGCTCGACTCCTCTAAGTCGGATCGTTGGACGGCCTCATCGCCGTCTCCTTGTTCAGAATCCCTGTAATCTCCCCATAAGGTAAACCTTATAAAACCGTTCACCCAGTCCAGAGTGACATGTGTCATAGGCGCCACACGACACACCACGTCACCCCGGTGAGGGGCAAATGATTTGGGTAAAAATACCCATGTCACGTGGCCCAATCATAATGGGACACATGTCACCCCATGACAGGTTCAATAAAGGCTACTCACCAGTTGACACGTGGCACTCCAAATCAGCAAGGGAAAAAGACAACCTTTAGGGCCTAATCCCTAGACTGCCAAAAAGCGGCACAACCCATCAGTCTTAGGTATCTGTAACCTAGAACGGGGGCACAAATCCCCATGACCCTATAAATAGGGAGATCTACCTCCCTTAGGGGACACACTGAATGATTTCTGATTCAATCATTAGAAAACAATCAATTCTCTCACATCAGAGAAAAACACTCGATCTCGGAATCCGAGAAGATCCCATTTTACTTTCCGCACTTTTTTACATTCTTCGTACACGTTCTAACTTGATCGTCGGAGGCAGAACTCCACCCAACCGGAGTCTCCGTTGTTTTGCAGGTACAGGCGCCCGAAGGCTAATCTTGGTGACGTAACTCTCCCGAGAGACGAAAACCCCCAAAACATAAGGAATCCCCTTTTAGCTTATACTTAGTATAATAGAGATATGTCTACTTTTATTGTTAAAATGTTTCAACCATTAATAAACATTGGAAGTTTATGATTTCTACAAGTGTTATATTTCTATCACATTCAATCATTTAAAGATAATACTCAAAGTTAAATTTCGTTTCAATGTATCTGCTTTGGAGAATAATCATCCTTTTTATCATTTGCATTTTACTCACATTATTTACAAAATACAAGATATTCATAAAATTTAAATAAAATACAAACAAATTTCAAAATTTCAAAATTTCAAAAAAGAAAACTTGGAAAACAAGCCTTCAATTATCAAAAGATAAAATTAAATTTGTAATGGCTAATGATTCTTAGCCATAAATAAAATAAGATATAATACTAACATTGCTAAAACAATGGTAGTATAGCAGTCCAACTATAATCTACAATTATGAATAATAATAATAATAATAATAAATTAATTAATTAATCAATTAATTAGTTAATTCTTATTAACTTGATTAAAGTTTGGTAATTTGTTGTGTGCAGCGTCCTAAAAATAATGACAGAAATGACATTTGGGATCCTACCAACTTCTTTACCGCAAACTGCTCCCTATTACTTTCCATTTCCATAACAGCCACCCACTTTGTGCCTCCATTAGTTACCTATATATACCCATCATCCATTTTTTACCACTAAATCAAACCATCACATAATTAAACTCACTAAAAATCAAACAAAATTCACTACTTTGTTTTTTTTTTTTTTTTTTTTTTTGTTGGTTTATAGTCATTGTTTATAATGCCATGAAAATGAGTCCTCCATCCTTTCAACATGATCAACACTACCCTCACCCTCACCCCAACCCTTACCACCGTGGGCCGCATCCGGTCAAGCAAGAGACTACTCTGCCTCCGGCTGTCACGACAACCACCAATAACAATAATGTTTATGGTAGAATGACTCCGCCTCCGTCGTCATTGAAGGTTAATAGGGACTCCCATATGATAAAGAAATCTCTGGGGCCTAGTAGTGCTAAATTGAATCAACAACAGCAGCAACAACAACAACGAGGTCCGGTTATTATCTACACTCATTCTCCTAAAGTCATCCACACCAATCCTAGGGACTTTATGGCCTTGGTACAAAAACTCACGGGTATGTCACGAAACGAAGAGGCCGGTACCTCATCGAAAGAATCTGAATCTACTGTCCCGAATCATGAATCTGACGCGGCTAATGTGGATTACACCCTGCAGCATCAGCACCAGGATAATAATAATTATATGGGTAAGGTTGAAGGTTCTACTTGTCTCGGAGTAAACAATAATAATAACCATAATAATAATAACAACAGTAGTAATAGTACAGATGATAATGAATCATCATCAGTCATAACAGACGAGAATTGTAGCAGCAGTGGTAACAACACAGGTGATGTGGGACAATTTAATCCTTATATGACTACTCCGCAGTTGTTTGACCTACTGCCCGCGCCACCACCCAATTTGCCGCTCTATTTGCCTAGCTCGTCGGATATGTTATGCTATGGTGGTGATTCAGCTATATATGATTATTATATTAATTTTCCATATGATCAGATAACTTAATTTCATATTTCTTTTTAAATTTTGTTTCACTTTTGGCTAGTTAAACAGTTTTGGGACGTCTAATGTGCGCCTGTTTTGGTTAGATGGTGCACATACGTCAACAATTTTGGTGTTGCATTAGAGTTATCATGAACCATTTTTGTCATTCAATAAGTTAAATCTTATTTACGCTTTAATTTGATGTTTTCATTTGTAAATTAGCTTATTCTGAAATTACTCTTGAGTTTTCATATGCCATGAATGAGAGTTAAGTTAGTTTTTATGTGTGATTGCAAAGAATGAGAGTATTTACAATTTTATTTTTTGTTCATTTACATTATTCAGTTTTCGACTTTGTCAAATTTTGCACTGGACAGTGAATGCTTTACCACAAGATGATTAGATGATCGAGGTCTCGAGGACATTGTGCTTGGGATGATGGGGATGCCCCAGTTTCTTATAGTGAGAAACAAATGGCAATTTTGTAAATAAACCAACTTTATTCAATTGTGGAGCCCACAATAATGAAAAAATTGTTGATTTATTCACGAAAATGCCCCCATGAGAAACAAATTTCGTTTCTCAAACCTGAAAAATAGGGAATTTCCCTAGGGTGATAAAGCTAAAGCTACTCTTACACTCTTTGTCTAGGATGTAGTTCAATTCAAATAATGTTCTTTTGTATACTAACAGTAGGGCCATAGAAATTAATGTCTTTCCCATATACGTATGAATTTAGTGATCGCGTTACTAGATTAAGTTACATATGGATCAGTGTAAGTCTGTGACATACGACTTAGTTTTCACAGATGTAGATTTTGAGCATCCTGCTGGTCAAACAAAGCCAATCTAAGGCAAAGATAAGAAGAACTTGATCTAAGTAGTAGAAGTAGTATAAATTATTTGCTGCATGCCACAACTAGAAAACTTTTGGATGCAAAAGTAGTGCAACATCACAAGTTAATTTATTCAATGATTAAATTTTAAAAACAATAAAAATATATAAATAAAAGTGAATAAAATAAACGGCCATCAAAGAAAAGCAATTGGACCTAAAAACAAAAACCATAATAAAGCAATTACCACTGTAGGCTTCCTGTTGTGTTTATTTCAACATACTTAAGTTGATATTGGCTTCCCCCCCCCCCCCCCCCCCCCAAAAAAAAAAAAAAAAAAAAGTTGATATTGGCTTATTTCATAAATAATCAGATTGTATTAGACTAGATCATACTCCGTATCAATTTTATTTCTTTATTTGCGGCTATTTATAAATAAATATCTTTAATTTAGTGATTATAAAATTTATATACACGAACTACTCATTAATTTATTGCTCACGAACTAATTGTTTATTTATTGCCCACAAACTACTCGGTGTAATTAAACCAATCCGATCAATAAACAACTCATGTTCGAGCATAGTTGAAGCTCATTCGTGTTTGTTTATTTAATAAATGAGCCGATCTTGAACAAAATTTGAAGCTCATTTAATATATGAGCTTGAATACAAACATAAATATACTCGTTCAAATAAGTTCACGAAAGTGCTTCCATGTGAAAGCTTTGATAGATATAGATCATTTTATAACTTTTTATAATTTGTAACTTTTTTTTTTACAGGAAGAAAAAGGATTTCATTTATAAAAGATAGTAGAACGACACTTCCAAACAATTCCAATGAAATCTAAAATTCCACATAAGTACAGAACACCTTAGAACTAGCTTTATATCGCATATTCGATCAACGATCACCTTTAAAAAAAAAAAAAAACTTCATCTAAAGCAATACAATCTATGAGTTAGCATTAATTCAACTTGAAATCCGTACATGCATAGTCGTTTGTATGAAAATACGCATGTAGTCCTCTCGATACATATGAAGATTATGAAACTCTAGTTTTCACACCACGCCAGAGGAGCAAACAAAGAAACTAAACACACAAGAAAAACCACCATCTCAAGGATGAGATCTATATATTGAAAGCAATAAAAAAAGGTTTTTGGGGTTTACTACCGGTAGAACATTGGTGGAAGCCCTTACAAAGATTCACAGCTGAGACCAAAGAAAATAATTAAGATGAAAAAGAATGAGAGAATAGGGAGTATAGTGAAGGAAAACCTTAAAAAAAAAAAAAAAAAAAAAAAAAAATAAACAATACAAAACAAAAACAAAAACAAAAAAAAAAATAAAAACCTAGTAAAACTCTCCCAAGGGAGAAACTCTAGAGGGAACCTATAACTTCTTGACTTAAATTCATAATTGCTAATTTAAATCTAAAACTTTACAATTAAGATTTTATCATTATACTAATTTTTAGATTTTCAAATGTCAAAATTACAAAGCTCATTTATTAGAGCAGCTCATTTATAATTAAACTCGTTGACATGAAAAATGCCCATTTAATAAATGAACCATTCAAGAACCGTTCGCAAAAACTATAGTGTACTAAATGAACGGAGCTTGAACATATTATTGAGTTCACTTGAAAGTTCATTTGGGATCATGTTACACTCCCTAATAGATAGAGCGTTTTGTTACAGATTTAAATATTAGGGTGTGATATTAGAGTAGAACTAGTTTAAGACAAGTGTGTCGTTCAAAAAAATACGGAGAACTGAAGAGATTCTGCTAATAGTGGGAGAGGTGAACAGTGAGAACGGATAAGTCTTGAGGTCGAGAGGGTGGCTCAATTCATCATAATAAGTTAGCCTTGCCTAGGTGCTTTGGTATTATTTATTACCTTTTCTTTTTGGAGCGTTCCTGTGCTGAATGTTGCCTGAATACCACTCATGGGTCGTGTGATTTGAATTGTTGCTTCAGTTGCCGATCAGGATGTTTTGAACAACTGAACTGTATTGTATTGGTTTAGATGTTTACGAATTTGGTGAGGCTTTTTGTCTCTATTTCCATGCTTTCTGAAACTTTCAGAAATTTGAAAGTTTCAGGAACCTTGAAAGTCTCATTCATCATACAAGCCTTACTAAATAGCATATTGTGCTGCCTTTGATCACCAATACTCTCTCCTTGTTTCTCCATTTGGCCAAGCATAAGAAACCAGTCTGCACAGGATTCAGGGATTAGCCGAGGAATCCAGTGAAGTCTCCCAATATAGTTGTGGCTGAATGAACTCCAAGTTAGTTGCCTCCCTTCTGCATGTCATTGCGAGTCTTAATCTTGCTGATGAAGCTCCTTCCTTGAAAAATATCCTTTCTGTCGACCTGAGCAACCAGCTGAAGCTTGGTTATTAAAAGCCTTGGCATTTATCTTTCATTCTGTTGCTGTATATGCTTGCTGTTCTCACTGTTTAAGAATAGGTAGCCCTCACTTGCATCTCTGTGGGAAATGCACAACACTAACCATATGCACATAGGATTATGTTCAACTTTACACTTCTCATTAGATATATCTAGTATACTAGAAAAGCAATTTATTAGCAGTCATTCTATTAACAAGCAGCTTTTCTATCAGCAGAATGATACATGATATTATTACTAATCTACAACCTTCAAGCACACGTTAAATTATTTCCGTTTCTTATCTTCCTTTTCTCTCTCGAGAGCAACTGGTGCCGCAGGTATGCTAAACCACCACTCCCTCAAACGCCTCTCCCATTTCTCTGTGTTTGCTCTCCTAGGAGGGGAATACCTTGTGAATGCCTCTAGAAAGCACAACAGTATAATGTACTTACTTGGGACAAATGCCAAAAACACAGCCATGCCCGAAAGCACTATTGCACATTTCATGGTAGCCTACAATCAGCAGGATCAATATCAGATCTCGAGTCCAAACCACCATATATTCACATAAATCAAAACATTAAGTAATAGAAGAAAACACAAACAAGAGAAACAAGTTCTTATTTCCAAAGTCCAAACTAAGATCATGTTTGGTATAGTGTTTTTAAGGGGTGAAAATGGAATTAATTAACCGTTTACATTAACAAGTGCTTGGTATGACAGGTAGCGTAACACACTCCATTTCCTAAAGATAATTATATCCACTAATTTGTTACCTCTCCCAACCTGATAGTAACAAAATTGTTTCCCGCCTCAATTCTCAATTTGATAAAAAGGATTCCTATACCAAACAACTAATAATGGTAACACTTAGAAATTTAACCTTTCCTCTTATTATTCGTTTTTATTCCATTTCTTTTCCTTGATTCATACTTACCAAACATGCACTAAATGTACATGTGTATAATTGGTTCTCCTTTTTTCCCCCTTCTTTTTGAGGTGCTTATTCATCAAAGAATTATATATCTATATTCAATTAGGTAGAGGCTGGAGTGCTAACCTGAGGTGAAATGGATAACAACAAGGCACGTAGTTTGAGAAGAATAATATTTCCAAATTGGATGAACTCTTCAGCTTGAGAAACTGCATTCTGGACTGCCAAAATCTGCTCCATTGCATTCTTTGCTGGTGGAGCTATAACCTTCACCTCTGAAACAGGTCGACCTTGACTAAACCATAGTGTCAGAAGCATAAAGAAGGCAATACAGATCAGAGGCGAAGCAAGAACATACACAAGCCATCCCCTGCAAATGCACAACCAAAAGGTTACTATGAACTAATACCCAGGAATTCAGAATGGTCAAGCATACAAGTATCATATATTATAGGATTTGACCAATTTAATGGCATGAATGCCTCTGGAATTATTTGTCAAAGCCATCCTAGTCCTTAATTTCCTATCATTCTGCAGCATGTTAACATGCCCGAAGCATGTAAAGTGTTTATGTCCTTTGGTAAACACACAACATGGGAAGTGGGAACATGCGAAGTTGTTTGGATAAGTCAATTACGTATTAAAGTTGGACTGTTGGAGTATAGGAGCAATGAATATGTTGCAGGTTAAAGTTTCCACTGGGGTAACCCTCTTTTTAACAACAACAACAACAAAGCCTGGTCCCAAAATGATTTGGTAATCCTCTTCTTTCTAAAAAGAATTATGTAGTAATAATTACACTAATTAAATTAAATGTTTTCCTCAACAATCCTCATTCCATTAGCTAAACCAATATCATGAAAGAGAATCGGACACTTATCAAAGAACACCAAACATAGATTGCAAACTGATTATACTAGTCTAATCAAATCCCCCCAAAGATATTTCATACCAAGATACTTTGACACATAAGAAGATGGCCAAATAAAAGAAAGGAATGTCAGGAATGAGGCAAAGCATGTTGATAATTTTACATGAAGAAATCTTCTAGTGTAAGGCCATGGACGCATGACATAATCAGCAGAAAAAGAATTAGATCCAAATAACTTGCCTGAAGACAGCATAAGCAACAATTGTGCAGAATACCAGAGATTTCAAAGGCTCTTCCCAATAAGCCAGAGAAAAGATACAGTTGACAAGTTCTAAAATTGGAAATAGTAGCTCCTGCAAAAAATGTCAATAAATTAGTTAAAGACAAAAATAAAATTCTGTCCCGGGGAAATAACCTAATTCTATCAGGTAAAGAGACATGGATCAAGAAATGAATCCATAAAATCCATGGGGATGAATAATGCTTTTGGTGTTCATTCCCTGTCTCCCCCAGAACCCTCATTTGTCTCTGTCATTATCTCATATGCACACCTAACGCGCACGCACGCGCGCACACACACACAAACACAGACACACACACCAAAAAACCACCACTATCTTGTAACCATATAAATACTAGTATTTAACTTTCCAGAGCAACCATTGCTGAAGCACAGATATATGATAAAATCATAAAGTATTAAGTTTGGTCACCACTATGCCATAATAAAGTAGTCAGATCCCAATTAAACATAGCCAGTTTAAATTCTCACCAAAAGCCTATGATATTCCTGCAAACCGTCATCAGCAGCGTCACATGTTTAGACATGTACTTTTAATACCACTCTGTTGGTCATGGTTAATGAGTGTAAGATTGTAAGGCTATTCAATTCCAACTAAGAAAAACTAGTAGTGCCCCAAAATGATTGGCTTAAACACCTGAAAATGCGATTACCTATAGACATGTCAGTGCTTTCTACGGTTGAACAACCACAGTAGCATATCTGGGTTCAACCCACTAACTTCATTTGCTAGTGCGAGCCTATTTCTGAATGGATGGCCAAATGTTAATGTCAAGGAATATCAAAATATACCTTCATTACCGCCAAGTTGGTATCAATACCATCTACTTTAACACCATCCACTGTTTCCTGAGCTAGGACCGCCTTCTCATAGCTACTTCTTGATTCATTAACAACCTTCTCCAGGGGAGTTGTATCCCCAACTGCTATCTCACCCACAAGGAGTACATGATTGTTATGGTCATTGGAACCAAATCCAAAGCCTAAAGTAGTGGCAACCGCTAAAGCTGAACTAGAGTGTAAGCCACCTCGTCGAGGACTATTGGTCCTTTCTAACTCCCTTGAGGTGGACATACTGGCTAGAGTTTCTAGAATCATATCTCCCCCGGGGAGATGATCACAAAGATTAAAAAGAAGAATAGCTTCCACACGAACAGGACCTATTAAGTTCATATCTTGAATGGCCTGTAACCGAAGAATCCCAAGTACAGCTTTTAGAAGTGCTTCTTCCCGTCCAACGCCAGATATCTTGTACTTGCGGATGAATTTATGAGCAAATAAAATCTCCTGTATAATTGCCAACCAATAGTCACGTCGACTATGCCCTTTGAGCTCAGGAAATTCCATTATTACCGGTTCTGATCTGAAGGATACATAATGAATTTAATCAACAGATCCAAATTTACAAGACAGTACTATTAGCTACAATATAGTAGTCTTCTGGCACACAAACATGCACATTATAAGGTATAAGCTGCCACAAACCCTATAGACTAGTAAGAGATGATGGTCTTACAGGGAAACAGATTTGTAAGCAACAGCCTTATCAAAAAGTCTTGTACCCCATGGACCAGTCAATTCAGGTTTGACACTCTGCTTCAAATCATCTGCTAGGTCATAGCGTGTCGCTTTATCGTATGATACAACTTTAAGAGGTTCAAAATATAGAGCATGATCAGTAAGGATTAGTCTCCCTGCATCAGATGAAAAAGTAAGAAAGAGGTAAGAACATGGTGTAAAGACATAAAAATATTTAAGAAAAATTATATGTATCACAACTTTTAACCAACTGTACTACAAGAACACCATTTTCCTCCCTAAATAACAGCAACAATGATAACGTTGAAGTTGGAGAAGGTGGTCCCAATTGGGTGAGGAAAAATTTTCTGAAAAAAATGACTCACCAGGCCATGTAGAAATTCCTAAATGCTGGAGAACTGGTTGGGTTGTCACTGTGCCATCCACTTCCACTATCTTCTCCCTCCTACCTGACCGCAGTTCAGACAGCAATGATGAATCAGATTGATTCTTCAATTTCTTTACAGCTCTGCAATATTAATATGAGAGTAAATTATGGGGTTTTTTCATGTCTTCTAAGATATTAACATATGAGTAAAATAAGTTGATAAGATAGTGAAACGAATAAAGTAAGAAATTTCGCTAACAGCCATGCCAGAGATACAAACAAAATCACACTAACACATTTCCCCACATATAAAAAAATTAATCACAGTTGATGTCTTTGGAATTTAGTCTTTTTGCAAAAGGATTTCAAATGAAAAATGCATCCATAAATTCTAAGATATTAATATATGATTGAAATCAAGTCAGTATCAACGTTTGCCAGACGTAAAATAGAAAAAGTTCATCAGTAACTACACATGATCAGAAAAAATAGTAACACAATAACACATGCTTCCTTCTTTTTTATTTAAATTGATATTTACTCTTCTGTAACAGTATTAAGAGTTCATTAATTTGGGCCAGTTTCCTTCTCCTATTTACACTAAACCCTAACTATGTACAATTAAATTTTCCAACATTTTACATTTCATTTGCTTATTATTGGGTGGTAACATCAAATATTTATCAGCAAGTACAATAGTGTTAAATATCTATTATAAGAGAACGGAGCATAAATACAACTTAGGAACTGCAAAATAAGCCAAATGAGTAGGATCATTTCGTCCCCAAAAGATGGACTCTCCCTGGGAACTATATTTTCAAAGGGACTCTCTCTCTCTCTCTAAGAAAAAAGGAAAGAAAAATTAGAGGAGTGCTATTTATTGATACTCCTTATCTTGTTATTTAATTGCCGCAAGAATCAACTATCAGCAATGCTTTTATGTAATTATTAAAACAGGTAAGGAGGATAATTAGGGACAAGTTAGAAAAAACAGTATAGATGTAGGTAGATTGGTCATAAATTTGACTAAATAGAATCTACTCCTAGTCATGACCAGCATATAAAAATCCTAAGCAGCTGTAGCTTAGTGGAAACTGGGATAAAAAAACAAGAGTTTCAGAATCCAGTTGGAAGCATATAGAACATAAAGATGTAAATACCTTGCCAAGTGCCAAAATAAGAAATTTATGCATAATTGCCATCATCTAGGACAAAAAGCAAAAAGATATTAAACCTGTAGTTATTACTTGAACGTTGCAAGAACTGAAGTCACCAAAATGCTACCTTTCTAAGCCAATAAGGTACTTGTCATAGACAGAGTACTGAAGGCGACCACCAGTTGAAGCAGTAAGCACCTGAAATAAATTGTTACTGATGACTACATTCGCAATTACAGGCACAGCAGGTGCTATCCTAGAAAAGGCTTCCAGTCCAACAGTAGCATCTTCATCCACCTGCAACAAGGTTAATCAGACAGTATGCCTGAGCATAAAAGAAGGTTTGAAGCATCAAGGTCACAGAACTCCCCTTCCCCCATCTACAAAGAAATTTATAGAACAAAATCCTCAAACATACAATTAGTAGTAAACAAGCGTAATGAATTATGTTTAATGGATGAAACTAGGGGGTAACTATTATTCATTTGGAGGATAGGACTTGCAATCACTGCTAAAGTTGCTTGCCATAGTCAGTTATCCATAATGTATGACAAAAAATTTCAGAGCTGGTGCAGAAGGAAGCCACGTCCGAGATCTAGAAAGCTCTCTTGAAACTAAAACTGAAATTGGCCATTATTTCTATAAATTACGAATAAAATAGATATACTCACAGTAAGTAAAGGTTGGCTGGAAGAAGCAGGAAACTCCCACGCAAGCATCATATCATATGTTAAACGACGGAATTTTTTATCAGCCAAATAACCAGTCACTTGCATAGACAGGGCAAGTGCTCTAAAACAACAGTACTCCAGTAAGTTTCTAGCATAATGAGAAGGGCCTCTAAGAGATTCCGAAGCAACTGAATCAAAATCATCTTTAAGATCACTTGTTGAAATCCCCAGTATTCTGCAAAGTAAGGCAGAAAATGTCAGCTTTAAAAGTGAAATACCGAATAAGCAGAAATTTTCATATAATTTAAAAAATTATAATTGAATTATAATTGATAACAGCGCAGCAGGCTTATATCATGCTATACAAATATAATAATCTCAGATGTGCAGTAGTTCAGAAATGTACAGTGTCAAAACAATCACTGGGCTAGAATCGTGGCAAACAAAGCCAACAAAAAAATGTGAGGCATCTTGAGAAAAAAAACAAAGAATAGCAGTATGGCAACGAAATGTGATATGTTATAAGATCCTACATATGATCTCTCACCCATGATATAATAAGAAAAAGAGAGCCGCCTACAACACCCCAAGTCCTACATCCAAACATTATGGAGAGAGTTGATCGGGATATTAAAATCTAAGCCTTCTACTAAAAAGACAGAGCCTTCATCTTCTAAGCTCAAACAACTCTTTGTATCAACCCATAGGACTATAGGAGACTTCCTAGAGTTCCCGCATGTATGGATTAGTAGGTTGTCTAGCAGAGGTAATAAGATAGACTATTATTATTGGTATCTTGAAGTGCACACTGATAATTGAGCCTACAAAAGAAAAATCATATTCATAAGAAGAAAATTTATGACCAACCAAAGAATCCCATCAGAATATAACAAGAGATGTAATTAATAAAGAGGGAACCTAGCTCTACTGCCGAAACAATAACACCAAGGTTTATAATATGACTGCAACTGCAATTGTAGTAAAACCTGCAGAGTTTTACTTCAGTGCATTTTGGCATAAAGATTTGAGCAGACATGGCATGATCTCTATACTGCTTATATTGGCCATAGTTACGCATTTTTTGCTTCAGCGGAAAACTTGGCATAACGGGTTAGGCACAATCTTTATGCTAGTCGTATAGGTCACATTGGCCTATTATCAACCAACAATTAACTAAATTTAGCAAACATCTATTTGGCCCACTGAAAAACTATTCTACATGACTCAATACAGTGTTCTCTTATCAGACTAAAGTGTCTCTTTAAATAGGGATGTTGAGAGACTCCCACCAAAGTGGGTTAGCATAGTAGTTAGAGTAGATCATATGTTAATATGTGGCAGACCAAAAGTACATTTAGCAACTATAGACAATTAATGGCTGATTATTTGGCCTTATGACCTCCTCTAGGTGTTTCCCATTTTCATGTTGCCAGTCTTTTTACAAAATTAAGACACCCAAGAAAGTTATCCTCACTAAGTGCAATAGCAGTAAGACCTACACAAAATGTGAAAGCCTAGACTGCAAAAGGAAACGTATCGGAAAAGAGCAAGACCTAATATCAACTCTAGCGTTTTCCAAATGGTGCTGATTTATCATAATCATGGTGCAGGTCACAACACTTCATCAAATCCCAAGAACACAGCCACTGTAATTCCCACAGCAACATTTGTGTATGACATCATAATAAAGGTTTGTACAGGTTAATGATCCTGTATACAGTCATGAAGATATCGATTTATATCCTATATAAAAAACAACTCCAATATCATTCATCATCTCTGTTGTCAACTGTCATAGAGCATTTACGTAATGGAAAGGAAAAGTGAAGGTATCTTGGTCATGCAATTTCATTAAGAGTTTATAAGTAAGAAGCTCTGCCCAAGAAACTTAACTTTTAGCAGAAATAAAGGCAAAGCAACTACACAGAATCAATACACTCGCCACTAGCATACAATAGATAAGAGATGGAAAACATTGACAAGGGGAAAAAAATATTGTTTAGAACATGCAACCCTGCAATAAATTTCTCTAAAACTCAGCAGAAACATTTCCTCCTATCCGTTGGAAAACAAAATACTTCACAAACATAAATCTACTCCAGCATAGCATGGAAAGCTCTAAGAAACTATGCTGCCTAACTATTCCTTTATAAAAATCGACCTTTTTATCCAACGGCCTAATATAGCTTGACAGCTCCTTTTCCAACCACTTTCTTAGCATAGATTTTGAGGAATATGTGGGATCAGTAGCAAGGTAAAAATAAGCACAAATTTCTCCGTCCTCTCAAAAGTTTACCCAAGAAGAAAAGGAGCCTTAAAATCGGGCTAGATAGAATCACATGTCAGTCAAATTGCAAAAACATGCATTTCACAAAGATTAAAAGCTGTTGACCAACAATAGTAGGCAAGCCGCACCTTTCTTGGAAAACATAAAAATAAAAAATAATTACAATGTAATTTTGGTTTTGTTTAGACTTTAGAATTAAACTTTGTACTTAAGAAGAAAAGTTCCAGCCTCAGAAGTCAGAATGAGGTAATATTTGAAATTTACACATAAAGTAAGCAACCTAAAGTCCTAAAGAGCCCAATTTAGCTCAAAGCACTAGTTTGGTCCATACATCAATCTTGTAGTGCAATCTTCAATTTGGAGCATCTATTACATGTTCTATTTCAATTGTTTGTGAGCTATATGTAATAAATCATGTATGGTAAAGTTTAAGGTAACTTTCTAAAAACCTTTTCAATTTGTAATTACTCTTAAACTCAACCATCACTGATAAAAGTGCATTTCTTACACGTACAAATATTACAGGATAGAAAGAATTAAAAAGTATATTGAAAATGCAAATGTGTCATGTTGAAACACCCAAAGAAGATCATGGCTGATAAAAGTGCGTTACTTACACCTATTATATGATGGGAAAAAAGGTGTGGATAATGCAAATGTACGTAGTTGCTACATCAAGAGAGGAAAGCTTAACAGGATAGAAAGCTTGCTTAACAGTAGAAGCAAAAAACGCAGGGCACTATCCTCTAGGCAAGCATATATGTAATATTCGCTGAAAGTTTTTAAGAGTTTCATTGACATTCTTAGGCTTCTCTTTCCATAATCTGGTGTAAATTGGTTTGCTAGCTTTTATTTTGTGAAAATCAAATTTTGATTTTCTTTTCTTAGTTCTTTAGTGATAAACATGATGTCCTTCTATTGTTGGAGAGATTTGAAAGGAAAATGAAAGGTTACTCTCTCCCTCCTCTCACCTCCTTTTTTTCTTTCCGTTTTTCATTCCCCTCCATTTCCCTTCACTATTGTAACCAAACATAGTGTTAATCTCAATAATTTTAAGTTTGATAAGGTATCCAAATTCATACTACATCTTAAAAACAAATTAAAACAAGTTTAAATAAGGGCCAATGAATTCAAAGAAGAAAAGAAAAGGTGAAAAGAATGGAATCTAAGCCCTTCACACTATGTTTGAATAGAGAGAAAGGGAGGGGTGTTGATATCCCTTACTTGGATAGCATATGGAAGGAGGGAAGGGGAGGGAATTGGAAGGAACCAAGTCATTCCAATATTGGAAAAAAAGCTTTAAAGAAAATGGAAGCTCTCCCTCCCCTTCCTTCCCTTTCCCTTCTTTATACTTTCCTCCCTACCCTTTCCCTTCATAATTGCTATCGAAAAGCAACAAACCTTCCACATATCTAGACTAAAGAGTTCATGTTCGTTACTATGGACAACTTGAAGACCTATTTTAGAATTGGCCACTCACTAACTCATGAATTCAGTCATATAACGTAATCAAAATATTTGTGCTTCAAAGGGAGTTAGATAACTCAACAAAAATAAATAACATCAATTCCAGCATGCTTATAACTAAAAAACTAAGAAAATCATTTCACTCCGGAAGCTACCATGCTTACCAACTCCAATTTGCATTTCTTTGAACTCCATCAGTCATACTACGACAACCTTTCACAATGGAAGCTAGCATGCTTACACATAACTATTATTAATCATGCCAACTTTGAAAATATCTAACATCTTCCACAAGATGGACAGCATAATACCAACTCTAGTACTCCATATACCACATGAAATTGTTTAAGAACTCCACAAATCCATAGTTTGTAAAGTACAATCAGGTAGTCAATTAAAAAACTAAGGGGGTGCTTGGTTCACGAAATCTAGGTAAACCCATACCATTACACATTGCATACTGCCTTGATTTTTGTCATAGAATAGATATCAATGCATCACATTAGTAACAAAATGAAGACCCAACCACAGAATGGAATCATAATGTTTACATAATGCCGCGATTTTAGGCATGTAAAATGTAATAGACATAATCGAAAATTCCTCTACAACAGTACACCGAGTTTGATGATTCAAGTTGAGGATCCAATATAGAGTAAACCATAATTAAATGAATATAAATTTAAAAAAACCAACGATTAGCATATCAAGATTGCTTAAATATGTGCATGAACATTAATAGTGATACCTTGAGCATCTCCTAGCCACAACATTAGCAACAGAAGAAAGCTGAGGTATCCAATTACTATCTCCAGAAGATGATTTGCCTAATTCCTCCATTTCCTCTTTAAATGAATCCCGACTACCAACCAACCATTTGAATGACCCTTCTCTCATGAAATCCTCCAACATATTCCTCGTTTTGTTCACCATTGTCATCTAATCACAAATTCAGCAATTACCCAACAAAATTTACAAGAACTTCAACCAACCCACCAAAAGTTATTGGTGTTTTCGAGTCGATTTTAAGTCAATAAATGTCCCCAACGAGCCCAACAATGCGGCCGATTAAAATCCTAGATCCGCCACTGATTATCACTTCATCAGTATTCAATACCATACCAAAAAACAAAACCCAATTACTTATAAACACCAATACCCAGAAAATCAGTAGAAAGTTTCAAGAACACCCATTAAATGATCTCAAGTTAAAAATTTCCTTCGAACCTATGAAATACAGCAGGAATTATGAAGAATTTATTCGATGAGTAAAAATTTGTAATAGAAACTGGTAGAAAGTTGAAGGGGTGAATTAGAATCGAAGCAAAGATGGAAGTATAAGCAAGAAGTTAAGGAAGTAAATGGGAGAAAGAATCAAAGTTCACATTTTTCACGAAAAGATTGAATGTTGAATCGGTGGATTTTGGTTGTATTGTTTAAGCCGGCTTGATATTTTGTCGGATAAGAACAATTAAAAGAGAAGGCGAGTACAAATGACGTACATATTCATCGGAAATCGATGTTAGTAGTATGAAAAACAGAAAGAGCATTACAAAATTAAAGACGGTGAGATGCACGATTAGGTTGAGGCTTGGGCTAGCATGCTTCAATAAAAGGCTTGTTAAACTTGACCCAAATTTATGTGGTTGGGATGCTCGATTTGGTTTGGGCTTTAGACAGTAGCACTTAATCCAACAACTTGGATGGATACGGAATTTGTAGGGGCATGTCAAAATATTATGGACTTAGGCTGTGTTATATTCTAAGTTTGCAAGATGATAATGGTACTTGGATTAGTGAGGATTTTTTATTAAAGGATATGGCTGTTTCGTATTTTCTTAATATCTTTTCTGCAATTCCTTTAATTTTGCCTAATCAAACTTCTTTCATGCCAAATTTTATGCTAACTGATTCTGATCGTGCTAATCATTCTAGGCTTCCTAATCTGGGGAAATTAAGAATGTTTGTTTAGAATAAATCCTATGAAGTGTCCCGGTCCCGATGGCATTCAACCAAAAAAATTTCAGCATTTTTGGGGGGATTTGGGAGGATTTATTAGTGATTTTTTTAATGACTGCTTTAGGAATTTTAGGATCCCTTCTGTGATTAATAAGTCCTATATGTCTCTTATTCATAAAATTGAAGTCCCTTGTCATATTTCACAGTTTAGACCTATAGGTTTATGTAATACGATTTATAAGTTAATCACTAAATTAATTTCGGATAAGTTAAATCCTTTTTTGAATAAACTTGTGAATCTTGTTCAATCCAGTTTTATTTCGGGTCGTGGTATTGAAGATAATATTACTATCACTAAGGCGATTGGCTCATATTTGTAACAAAGCTAAAAAAAATGGAAAAAATTTAGTGGCCCTAAAGCTAGATCTTTCTAAAGCCTATGATAGTTTAAATCGTCCTTTATTAGAGATACTCTAACTAGATTAGGGTTTTCTGATAGGCTTATTGATTTTATCATAGACTGTATTTGCTCCCCTAGTATTTCTGTTTTGTAGAATGGTGAAATTACTAAAGATTTACTCTTTCTCGAGGCATTAGGCAAGGCGATCCCGTGTCTTCTTATATCCTTGTTTTATGCCTTAAAAGACTTTCTATTATTATTGAGGATCAAATGAAGTCCAATTCTTGGAAGCCTACTAAGGTTAGTACCACGGTTCATCTTTCTCATATTTTTTATGCCTACGATGTTTTCCTTTTTGGTAGGGTTTCCAAAGAATGTTGAGGCTATGATGGACACTGTTAAAAATTTTAGTGCTATTTCAAGTTTATCCATTAACCAATCGCAATCTTCCATGATATTTCCTAAGAAAATGCGCCATGTCCTTAGAAGTGATATTGTTGATTCCATAGGTTTTTGTGCTACTTCTAATTTTGGCAAGTATTTGGGCATTGAAATTCATCCTAATAAACACAAAACTGCTCATTATCTTTGCCTGCTTGATAAAACTATGGGTCATATCAAAGGTTGGCAAGCCAAATTGCTTAATTTGGCGAGGAGAACCATTATGATTAAAGCTGTTTTGAATTCTTATCCGATTTATCATATGCAAACAACCTTATTCCTTTCTCTGTGTTGGATTCTCTTGAAAAAAGTTGTAGGAAATTTTTATGGAATAAAAATGATCAAGTCCATTACTCTCCTATGCTTAGTTGGGGGCATGTTACTAAACCTATGGAGATTGGGGGTTTGGGAATTAGAAGGCTTAGGGAATGGAATATCTCCTTTATTATGGACAAACTTGGGTGGACATTTTTTAATAATCCTCACAAGCTTTGGGTGAAAATTTATGTAACACCCTAGAATTTCCTTTCCTTTAAAATACCTGTGTTTGCTCTTTTTAAAATACGAAATACGAAATTCTAAGACAATACCGCCACCATGAAAAACGGGAAAGCCAACCATCAAAGACACACAGCGGAAGACTCTCTTTAAAACCATTCAAAACAAGTCAACTTAAAAAGTCAAACTAAATTAAAGTAAAGTCAACCAAAAGTCAAACAAAGTCAACCTACAACTTGGAACCATTGTAGGCCCTTAATAAAATCGAGATAAAACATTTGAAAACCATTGCGTTAGTCTCAAAAGAAAAATATATAATAAATAAAGCAATAAACACATCATATTCTTATGGAAACTAAATATGATTCGCTCTTCGCTCATGCCCATCATGAATATGCTTCCGCACCTAAAAGCTTCTCTTTACTTTGTCCCCACTACTCGCCATTAGAAATCGGTCGTTATAGGGCCAAGATAAAGACAAGGCCAAACAAACATACAAACACACAATCAGCAATGCTGAGTGCATAAGTGTAAACAGTACGCACTAACATGCTTTCATCCTATCAACACACAACTTATCTTGTTACACCAATTTACAAGCATATAACATACAGCATACAACATAACCAACTAACAATTCTCTAGATTATTTATTTAGCTTGATTACACATCGAACGGGTTTCCCCCTAACCTGCCCCAATAAAGGGGTACTAACACGGGAGCTAACCATGCCAGTATAAAAGAAGCACTCATAAGTGGCGGAATTCCTATGCATAATAAAAATGAAAAATACAGCGTCCGGTACTCCCAGTAGAAGTTATGGTCAAATATAAAGTTGCATAACTCCCCTCATATGTTCATACTCAAGGTATATACGTTTCAAGAGTTTTGGTGCGTAATCTCTTTCACTTTACGTTGTTTACATATTTTTAGACTTGGTGATGACTCTCAAACCATCATACAATCAGTCATAATAAATCATTCAAACAATCAAACATACCAATTTAATTCTTGAATTTGTGACCAAAATATAATTTAATCCTCGTGTACACAAACACTTAAATAGCTCATTTCTCATGCTTATAGCATCAATAAAAATTATATGAATCATAATAAAATTTCCTTTTTATATTCCAAACAAAATTAAACATTTAGTTTAATTAAACATGTTCTTTATCATGCCAATAATAAAAGTGTGATTCACATTCAACAAGCCAACATAATTAATTTCAATCATCAATTCACCAAAAATAATCCATACTTCACAAATCAATCACCAACATCAATCCAATCAACAATTCTAACCAACACCTATCATGATACTACCTTGAAATTAATTAAACAAAGCGTAGCATGCTTCTATACACTTAAATAATTACCGAGTACGTGAACGTACCTCGAATATGATCTCAAAATCGCCACAACTACACGAAATCACTCACTAGGAAATTGTTGGGTTTCGTAGAGTCCGACTCTACGCGGAAGAGAAACCCGCCCAAGACCCGCCCACTAATTTAGGCAACTAAGCATGCAATCACTAATTTAAACAACAAATTAAAGAGAGAAGGAAAAGACATTCTTACCCTTGACGCGTGCTTCGCTCGTAAACCAAGCTCTTACTTGAACCCCGTAAATGCAAGGTCTCCGACGGCTCGTACCCACGAACCCGACCCGATCGGTCCAAGTCTCGAAGGTTAGTCGAGACCCGACCAAGAAAACTAGAGTTTTACGAACTTAGGGATTTCTCACTTATCCAAGGAGATGCCCTTTTAGCTCCACTCAAGTGTTCTTCCTAAATGCCAAAATCTTGGTATTTATAGGGAAATGAACCTTGAACTCCCCATTCATGATCATTGTGGGAGAATTTCATTTTGTGCAAATCAATCATAAAGCAACAAGTGGCATGAGGAAGAAGAGGGAAAATGAGGACCACCCCAAGGGGGGGACCAACTCATTTTTCTTTCTAATTAACCAACCAAGGAGGGGGGGGGGACCATTTGCAATCCCTCCCTCTAAGACAACACGCAAGTGGTCCCCACCATCCTAGCAAAAGGGTGGCTGGGACAGCTGGCTGCTGGCCAGCCATGGCTGCATAGGCTGCCTTGCTGGCCCCTAGCAGCATGGCTGTGCTAGCAAGCCAGCCAGCATACGCACATGCCCAACCAGCAAGCCACGCACATGATGCGGGCTGCCGCTAGCATGATGCGAGTGCTGGGCGCTGCCTAGCACTGCCTCGCATTGATGCTAGTGCTGGGCGCAGCAAGTGCTAGGCGTTGCTAGCCTTGCTAGGCGCATCGCCTAGCTTCCACGCAAAGTACGCAAGGCAAGGCCCCAGCCACAGCGATGCTGCGAGCATGCGAAGGGCTGGGCACCATGCGCGCCATTGCTTAAGCTTGGTGCTTGGTGTTTGGCCCCCTAGCATGCTAGCAAGCACGCAAGGCACGCCAGCTAGCACATATGCACAGCCACACACGCACGCACGCCTAGCGATGCTGTGTGGTGCTGTGTTGCTAGGAGCTGGCCCATGGTTGTGTGCTAGCACGCACATCCCCAGCACGCTGCCAGCAAGCTGCGATGCTTGGGCTGTGCGAGGGCCAGCGTAGGCTTGGTGCCAGCTAGCCAGCAAGCACGCATGGTGCGATGCTTGCGGCCAGCACTTGCTGGGCGCCACGCCTAGCGATGGGCGATGGCAAGCTGCTAGGCCAGCCCGCCCAGCCACGCACACTTAGCAGCCCCTTATGCGCATGGACCATGCCTAGTCTAGCACTCACATGGCTAAGCCAATGCGAGGCTACGACTAGGCTTTGAACTTGTTGCTAGATTGATTTCACGTCTCGGCGAATTCTAAATTAGTCTTGACTTACGACGCTCGGTCTCGACGCCCTAGGCTCGATATCCGACGTCTTTGTTCGTAAAACTCCGACGACTTATTAAATCCTTCAGATTGATTCGTCGTCTCGGATCGGTTGTTCGATTGGGTTCGACCCGAAGGGTTCAGTCAAGATTAAGCTGTGACATTACTGTCACCGATCAGAAGCCGCCTCCACCTAGGCATTCCGATCACTTGACCTTACTGAAGAATTAGCTCTCTGATAATTTTGAACCCTCTATCAGAATAATACACTTGTTGGAAGGATACCATTCCTTTCAGAAATCTCCTACAACCCAAAATTACAAAGAGACATTAATACCTATTCAATATAAATCTTCGGCAACATATACACTCTTT